AAAGGAAAAGCCTTGTAAAACCCGATTTGATTTTAAAAATGGTTTTGATAAACTAAGAGCGTCGGGAGTAGGCTGGTTGTCACTTCAGTTAAGTGTGACCCTTGTGCACAAGTGAGCTCTAGCTAGAGAACTTTTGGGTTACTGACGGGCTGTTAGACGTGGCTGGGGCCACAGTCTGTGATTTACGTGGCAAGGCCATGGCTTGTTATATGTGGCGAGGCAACCAGTGATATTCGCGGTTGTGACTGCTCGATTTGTCCGATGTCGGCCAACATCGTCGAGACTGCCTAGCTATGGGGATCCGATGGAGTAGAGCTCTCGGATGTTATTACGTGAAAATAGATCCACGGGTGATTACTATACTTACCTACTCGAAAGCCTTGTGAGGTTTTGACGCATACTCTTTTGCATGGTGGAGATTTGAGATTTCTTTGCAGCTCCCTTGGTTTGAATAAACACTTTCAGTGCTTACTTGATGAACATGAGATGTTTTACGTGGCCGTACACTTGGATTCTTTACATGCCATATAATTTGGGAACGTTCATACTTTATATTGTTGACTATATTTATATGGCAAACAATGTTTACAATGTTTGAACTTGGTTTCGTAACATTGTTTTGGCACCGTTTTGCCAAGTGAAAATATTATTATGATTTACGTCGTTATTTTTATAAAGCACAAATATCTTACTTATGATTTGCTATTTTAAGACTATGATTTGATATTATTCAACTTATTTGCCCTATGCTTGTTTCCCATCTACACCCTGCTCACAGAGTCGATAATCACTAAGTCTGTGAGACTTAACCCCCATTATTTCCCTTTTGCAGATAGTGATCAGCCTAGCGTGTATTCATCAACATTTCCAGCCCACCGCGGATAGGTAAAGGCATCTCATAGCACTTTATTCCGAGTCGCTCCACTGCTAGAGGTTGAGTGTTCATAGCGTAATTTGTAATGATTAGACATTAGTGTCAATTCAAATGTACATTTGAACATTTTAAGTCTTGATGTATCATTTGTATGATTATGTGAATTAAAGGTTTACTCA